CCATGCAAGTGGCTCTCCTCTGGACCCTCTCAAGTTTAGCCACATTTCTCTTAAAGTGCAGCACCCAGAACTGGACACAATACTCCAAATGTGGCCTGACCAATGCCGCATAGAGGGGAAGGATCACCTCCCTGGATCTGCTTGTGATGCATCTGTAGATGTGCAACAAAGTGCGGTTAGCCTTACCGACTGCTTCCTCTCATTGGTGGCTCATGTTCATCCTGGAGTCAACAATGACTCTGTGTTGAATTCCATCCTATTCTCATCCCCCCACCTCTGTAATTTGTCTAGATCTAGCTGGATTCTGTCTCTCGCCTCCACCGCACCCACCTCGCCTCACAATGTGGTGTCATCAGCGAATTTGGACAGCGTGCATTCCACACCCAGATCCAGATGGCTGATAAAGATGTTGAACAGTACAGGCCCCAGGACCAAGACCTGAGGGACTCCGCTGCCCACATCCCTCCAGTTCAAAAATGACCCGTCCACCACCACTCTCTGGGTATGACCATGTAGCCAATTTGCCACCCATCTGACTGTGTAGGTATCAGTGCTGCAGTCACCAAGGTTTTTAAGAGAATGTGGTGGGAAGCCATGTCAAAGGCCTTCTTAAAGTCCAGGAGGATGACATCTACCCTGACACCCTCATCCAGGGACTTTGTGACCTGATCATAAAAAGAAACCAGGTTAGTTGGGCAGGACCTGCCCTCAATGAACCCATGTTGGTTGCCCCTGTGCATTACCTCCCCTGCTGGGCCCTTGCAGATGTGCTCCTTGATAATTTTCTCAAAGGTCTTCCCAAGGACCAAGGTAAGACTGACTGGCCTATAATTGCCGGGGTCCTCTTTTCTCCCCTTCTTGTAAATGGGGACCACATTGGCCCTTTTCCAATCCTCTGGTACCTGGCCAGTGCCCCACAAGCGCTCATAGAGCTGTGCCAGGGGCCCCGCTATGACCCCCGTCAATTCCCTCAGCACCCTCGGGTGAAGAGCACCTTGACCTACTGATTTAAACATGTCCAGCCCCTTAAAATGTTTTCTAAGTCGTCCCTGACCCTAGGCATGGCGGTGCCTCCCCTGGGTCATTCCGCAATTCTAGTTGGAGAGATGTCCTGATCCTTGTTCAGGAATATGGAGGCGAAGAATTCGTTAAAGAGGTCAGCTTTTTCATTTGTCACAATCACCAAATTGCCAAGCCTATTCTGTAGGGACCCCACGTTACCCGATGCTGCCTTCTTACTTCCTATGTATTTGAAAAAGGACTTTTTATTATCCTTAATTCTGGTTGCTAGCCCTAGCTCCATCTCTGGCTTGGCCTTGCTAACAGCCCCCCTGCAGTCCCAAGCAATGGAGGTGTAATCCTCCTTGGTGGTAGCACCTTGCTTCCACTGTTTGTACGCCCCCTTTTTTGCACTCAGTCATTCCTGGATGCCTTTGCTGAGCCATGGGTTCTTAGCACTTCTGCCCCCCTTGATGTGCATTGGGACTTGACTCCCTTTGAGCTCAGAGGATTGTCTTCTTGAGGAACAACCACCCATCTTGGACTCCCATCTCATTGAAGCTCTGAAACCCCAATGCCTCTCCTACTAACCTTCTTAGCTTACAGAAGTCGGCCCTCGTGAAGTCAAGGACCTCTGTTTTGCTGCTTGCTTTCACCACCCTGCACTGGATAGTAAATTCCAGCAGGCAATGATCACTGTTGCCCAGGTGGTCAAGTACCCTCAAACCCCTCACCAGGTCTTCGCCTGTGGCAAGGACCAAGTCCAGCAAGGCATTTCCCCTGGTGGGACTATGCACCTCTTGGGTTAATTGGAGGTCCTGTATCCCGGCTAGGAACCTACATGAGCAGTTGGACCTGGCTGACTGCTCCTCCCAGCAGATGTCTGGGTAGTTTAGGTCACCCATGACAACCACATCCCTTGACTTTACAGCCTCCATGAGCTGACCTGAGAATTTCAGGTCCAGATCGTCCCCCTGGTGAGGCAGTCTGTAGTAGATACCCACTATCAAGTCCCTTTCCCCACACCCCCCCTTGCATTCTTACCCAGAGCGCCTCATTTTGCCCCTTCTCTGACCCCTGACCCTTTCCAGGCTGGATGCTTCTCAAACATCTCTGTGGCCTACTTAGCACCCTACTAGCCTGTCCTCCAGTCTCAACGTGAATCACAACATAGATATCAGCAAACTGCATTACAACTGAAGGTCAGCACACTCCAGGTTATTGCCTCATCTGCAAGGTGAAAGTTCCCCTTAACTCTTTCCTTGCAGTTATGGGACAGGTCAAGTGCCTGCCAGTCCCACCACTGCAGTCATCTCTCTCCAGAGCTCCTCTTTCTGCAGCCTGCAGGGCTATCCTGACTGCTAGCTCCAGCCACAAGCAGGAATTTCCATTTAGGTCTTCCTCTGCTGCAGCTTAGCTCAGCTGCTTACAGTTGTTACTTCTGTGCTGCCTGGAGGTCCTTACTGTAGTGCTGTTAGCTCTAGGGGCATGTGTAGACAAAACAAGGGCCCTACATTGAAGCGGTAGGTTTTTAAAAGCACCGCTTCAATTTACTGCTGTTTAAATCCCCGTATCGTGCACACACCCAACTTACCTGCCTCTCTAGTAGTGAGGAGGGGAGGGTGAGCTGCTGGCGAGTGGAGTGGTTGCTGGGCTGTGGCGGGGAGGGGCTGGTGCTTCCCTCTGCGGCAGTGGCGGGCCCCCCCCCAGTGCCCCTTGCCGTAGGCACTTGGCTCGGGCGGTCCCGGGGGGCACCGCAGCCACGGAGGGAAGCATCAGGCCCCCATGCAGCTCAGGCAGGCAGACAGACTCCGGGGAGAGGGAAGATCAGGTTCGTTGCTTTTCTTGAGTGGAGCCTGCCTTCCTGGGTTCCTGTTAGGCTACCTGCAGGGCGCCATGGGGCTGCACAGAGCCCTGTGACTGTAGGGGCAGCAAACTAAAACTTCTCAGAGGAGTTTTAGTTGCTGCGCCCCAAGTCATTTAAGGCACATTACGCTGTCAAATTTCCTACAGCGGCTAGAATTAATGCGCAATACATCACGAAGGCGTACAAACACCAACACCATTAAAGCGGTGCAAAAGCATTTAGCCCACTTAAAGTGTCGTGCACACATGCCCCTCATTGTGTCTACACATGGCCTACACTGGCTCCCGCCAGTTGCGATTCCTAGCTTTGATGTTTTCTGGTCTTCTGGCTTCCTACATGCTATCCTTTGCCCAGCTGCCAGATTCACACAGTGAGCTTGGCTTGCTGCAGCATCCCCTAAAATAACAAGAGCCTCTGGCTCTGTTACAGGGTCATATAAAGATGATTTTGAATTAGCTTGATCTTATACAGGACAGAAGATGGTTATACAGGACAGGTATGGTTAAAATGAAAGGAAACACATGAGGGAAGAGCTTGAGCTGGTGTTTTTTATAGAAGTAATTGTAAATTGTTAAATAAACTTTTAGTTCAAGAATTCCCTAACTCTAAAAAAGATTGATTGAGGCAAATATCATTTTTAAGTAAAGCTGGATTGTTGGCTACAAATGTCCAACTCAGGATCCTTAAAATTCTGGTTTATTAGGTGGATTGAAACACTGTAATGAAGTTAAATCATAAACCTTGGGGCTGGTCCCCACACACACACACGCGCGCACACACGCACACGCACACACACAGTAGCAAGCTACAAGAGTCAGGTATACCTGTCCCACAGGCTCTGGAGTCTGCCGTCGGGGCTTCTTTCAGTGTGGTGTTATCTTCCAGAAGGGGGTCGCCGGCTGGTCCTTCTGGCTGGACAGGTTGGGTGCTGGTCGAGTTGGAGATCAAGAGGGCGCCGCTGAGGGTCACTTTTCACTGCTTTTTTATCTGTCCGTGGCAGACTTTGGTGACTCCCCAGTTTTCAGGTTTGCCCAATCCAGGGGTCATTGACCCTCGTGGGACTTCCCCCTCGGTGGCTACTGGATGGCATCTGTCAGCCCCAGGGGTCATTCGCATGTACGTGCAGGTTTGGGAGTCCGTTGATGAATTTTGAATAGGGCTCTGGGAGCGGCCGATCTGGAGATATTCAGCCCAAAAGTTGGTCCCCGGCGTTGATTAACTCAGACTAGGGCTTCTAGCCCTTGAACAGTGACGTTTAGAGATTTCCCGGTTGCTACATTGTCTTCTATTGATTTCTTCCGTTGGTTGATCTGCGGTTTTCCTAGGTGTTAATTGCTGCCTGCAACTGTGTTACGCATTCAATCACTGATTCACTCGCTCTTTCAGGGGCCAGCCTGATACAGGGAAGCGGCAGTTTGACTCCTGCCCTTGTTAACATTGTTACAATGTACTTCTGAAACTAAACACATTTAGTTGAAAGTTGAAAGGTGAGGAGTATAAAATATAAGTTACAAAAGTAATGCCATGGCACACAAATAGATAAAAATACCAAAATACAAGGGGAGATACAAAATGCACACACACAAATTTTAAAACACAGTTCCTTATCTTAAAGTGAAAGAAAGAGGAAGGAAGAAAAGGTAGAAGAGGAAAAACGTATCCAAGGAGGGGAGAGCAACTGCAGGCAAGAGGAAAAGGGGGCTTTCTGCTACAGGATGATGATGAAGTTTAATAAGTTAACTAAATTAAAGACATATTAGTCATTTGTGCCAGTCACGAACCACATTTTTATTTGTTTTTATTTGCATTCTTTTTTGAGCTTGCTTTCCTTCCATTTGAATAGTTTGTTTTGTTTGTCTTTCTCTTCTGTGACACACGTAGTAGATAGGGCAGAAATGGCTATGTTATTACTAAAATGCACCATAAATGTTCATGTGCTCCTTGTTGTACAGAATTATGTAACCGTGTTTTCTCTGCCTCTTATATTGTCTCCAGTAATAAGAGACGGACAGAATTTGGCTCTAGATTTTAGTGTTGATACACAAAAGGATGTATTGATAAGCAAAAATACATCATACAAAATAGGCAGGAGGGTCTTACAAACTTTTAATTACTTTTTGTATTCTCATTTTAGAGTCAAGATAATCAGTATCTAATAGAGCCTGCATCTCTGCTAAAAACAAGACCAGAAATAGAGATAGAAAGCAGCATGGATACAGGTGGTTCTCCATCATCAGATACTCTGCTAGGTGGGCAGAGTGTAAATGCATATGAAGAACCTCATGAAAGTGCTTTAAGGTAATGTTGTAAATAGGATACTCAAGTTGATGTTGATGCTCCAGCTAAGCAAGAGTGATGGGTATAGAGCAGTGCTTCTAAAACTTTTTAGACTTGAAGCATGCCTCAGAAAATGCCAGCTCTTAGTTTTCACTTTTTTTTTTGGCCTACAAAAAATAGTAGAGCAATTTTTCCATTGCAAAGAACTCAGGAAGACCACTAGAATGGTTTTCTATTTGAAACCCCTGGTTCTATCTTGTGAATCATGGAAACCTAACAGTGCTACCAGTGTGTGGCACCCTGTGGCAACCTTGTAAAGATGTCAAAGCACCCTGATTGGGAATCGTTACTATAGTGTTATGCTGTAATGGCATATTACATGCATATAGTTACTTGATGTAGGGCCAAATCCTATCTTTACATATATGTTCAAACATTTATTTAAGACAATGGTAAATTCTTGGAGTAACTTTAAAAAAATGATTTGAAAATGGCTGTTCATCTTAGATTTCTATATAGGTATATATTAATAATCCCACTGTAACCAAACAATGATTTTTTTATGCATAGTGCTAGTGTTTATCAGTTTTGAAAAGGAAAATCCCTAATTTGTTCCTCAAACTACTGACTTGATGTGTGTGAGAGTAAATTAGGGAGAAGAACTGATGGTTTCTATTTGCTATTATTTTGAGTCATCTGTTCTTGCAAAATTTATTTAGGTGAAAATATCCACTATTACTAGCAAATATAATTTTGTAGCATGATATTCAGGAAAATCTTAAGCTGGTCCCCTTTTAAAGGCTAATTGAGTACAGACAGGGTTAGGAGCCAGAGGTCCTCAGTTTTGTTCACATTTCTTGATACAAACTGGTTTCAACACAGTATTTCACAAAACTCGTTTAGTGAGATCTTTCGCTTTGGGCTCCCTTTTTGTTTTAGACCTGCTCTCGTACGTGTTCTCTCTCATTCGCTTGTTCTTGTGCGCACATGCTCTCTCTCTCTTTCATCAAAAAATAAATAGGATCAAAGGAACATAGCACTTGAAAGGGGTCTTATGTGGTCATCTAGTCCAGCCTACTGCTCAAGACAAAATCATACCTGACTAAACCATCCCAGTGAAGTGTCTGTCTAACCTGGTCTTGAAAACTTCAAGGGATAGAGATTCCACAGTTTCTCTAGGTATATTTGACCTCCCTCATAGTCAAAGAATTCTTCCTAATCTCCAACCTAAATTTCTCCAGCTGAAACTTGAGGACATTGCTTGTAATCACCCTCCAGGTGTTTGAAGACCGTTACCTGCCTCAGTCTTCTCACTGTTAAGATACCCTTAAGATATATAAGATACGCTTATCTATATTTGTTGATATTTTTGTGGTTTAATGACATATTTTGTATTTGAACATTGTTGGCATGACATTAATCAAGGTTATCCAAAATTTGTTAATGTTAGCAACAAGTAATCTTTTTTTATGGGGTTTAGAATTTTACTGTACAAATGTGTACCCCAACCTGGAATTGATTTTCATGATTAGAGCAAAAGAATACACTTTTACTAAATGAAAATAATTAGACAAAATACATTTTGCTATGATTTGTAATTTTGATTAACAGAATACATTCTAAAAAGAAGGAAATGAATGATATGAGTAATTCTCTACTGCACACTATTGAAGAACGAGCAATAGATTCTGATGAAGATCTTAAAGAATTGGGACCATTCATAGAGGATGAAGTAAATATAACATCAGAAAATGAAGGTTTGCTCATATGATAAAAATCTGCTAGTTTTTATACTACCCTTAATCCAAACCAGGTTCTAATATATAAAATGAAGACAGTAGGAGTTTTAGCTGAATGCAACTGAATAAAGACTTCAATATTTGTTCCTTGGTTGGGTAATCGCCAGTAACTTATTTTATCTGAAATGAAAACATTTAAAAAAATGCTACACTTACATTTTTATTTTAGTAATGATTGTACTGTTTTCTCAGAGATGAGACATTTATAAGATCATCTTTTAATTGATTCTTAATCAACATGTATTCCGAATGTTCATTAACTTCACGAAGGAAGAAAGCAGGGTAGCTTGGCACCTTACAGCCCAGGGGCAGGCAATTATTTCAGCTGGAGGGCCGTTTAATGGGTTTTGGTAAGAAGTTGAGGGCCACAAGGGTAGCCCCACCCCTTGACAGGTGCTCCGCCCCCTGGTTGTGACTGGAAGTCCCACCCCTAACCTTTTTCACTGGAAGTCCCTTCCCTTGCCCTGGGAAATACTTCTTTTGGGATGGGGCGCATGCCATCTGAAATGGAAAAGAAATTAAATAGTTTACTAAAAATGAAACATCTACTATAACATATATTTTAATTTTATTACAAAAAATATTTTTGTCATGATTTGTGTTTGTGTAATGTATATAAAGAGGTAACTGCATGATGGGTCAAAAAAGTCTTACTCCTGTATTTTGTGTGGGGGGAGTGTATGGGGTGTGGCTGGGGGTGGGGCTGTTTGTGGCGGGTGGGGGTATGTGTGTGTATGTGTTTGTGTGTGTGTGTGGTTTGTGAAGGGTTGTGGCTGTGTGTGGGGGGCATGTAGGGTATGTTGTGGGGGGGGTATATGTGGGGGGTTGTGGGAACAGGGTGTGAGTGAGTGAGCTTTGTGGGGTGTGAGGGAGGATGGGGGGCTGTGGGGACCCTTCACACACTCCCCTCTATGGTACCCAGCCCCCCTGCCAGTGGCAGCAGTAGGCAGGGGCCCTCGGGGCACTCATGGTACTTCTGCCCGGTGGTGCGCAGCTCTGGGCAGAGCTGCACATGACAAGGAGTGCAGCCCAGCTGGCTCACCTCTATCATGCAGTGCTCCCCATGGCACACGTGCAGCTCCTGGCACTCGCACACTAATGGGGAAACCCTGTGTGATGGAGCTGGCTGCTGCCATGGAAGCAGAACACTAGGCTCCCCGCCACTTCTGGTGGAGTCCTGGCAGCTGTACGAGGCAGGGAAGGCAGCTGGCTCCATCGTGCGGGGCTTCCCCCAGGTGTCACGTGAGTGCTGGGAGCTGCACATATACTGCAGGGAGCCCCACACAATAGAGGTGAGCTGGCCTGGCTGTGCTCCACCATCTGTAACACTAGGCAGAGCCTCCCACCATCAGTGCCATGAGCAGCCGCTGCCTCCTGTTGCTGCTGCCACCAGCAGTGGGAGCTGTGTGCCATGTGGGGGGTGGAGGAACCACACAAACTCCCTCACACCCACACTCTGCCCACCTGAGTTCCACAGTCCCACTGGGTGGAGTACAGTTAATAAGTGGGTGCCTGCGGGCCAGATTAAATTTCCTAGTAGGCCAGATTTGGCCTGCTGGCCGTATTTTCCTTCTCTCTGTTATAAACTAACTCAGAGCCGTCCAACTTCTCAGAAGCTGGGGACTCTCCAGATTCCCAAGCTCCACAGGGCATACCACCAGTGACAGGGACACGCAGTGCAAGCCAATGGAAGGAGGGCTACCCTGGGGACCTTGGCAGCAGCAGTAGCTGAAATAAAGGGAGAAGAACTGGCAGCTAGGCAGAAACGTGGAGGGGCCTTGAGTTAACTCCTCAGGGACTAAATTCGGTGTGCAAGTTGCTAGTTAGACAGCCCTGAACTAACACATTTAGGTGCCACCCTGCCCTGCCTGCTGCCTAACTTAAGACTAACACAGTTAATGCCTTCACTTTATAAAGGAAATACAACAACTGGTAAAATATTGATAGCATATGTACTCTAATATTAAAAGGGTCCTCTCCTCTTCTTTTTCTGTCTTAAAGTGATAGACAAATTTGGCCAAATGGATCAAATCAGATAAATTGTAAAACATACAGTTTGTTGATTATATATGCTCTTTATGTTCTTTTATTAATTATGTCTCTTTATTTTATAGAATTCTTTGAAGAGCCATTTGAAATGCCAAAAAGCTCCAATATTTCTGTCAGTATTAAACCTGTACAACAGCAAAAAGTAGAGGCAAGTTAGCACCTTACAGAATTGAAAAAATTACATTTCAGTTTTTTTCATAACACATTAAATTGTTATATATTATAACTGGCTGGGCTTAAAGCTTATTTGAACCAAGCCCACACGAGTCATCTATCCCACGCGGCCAGAAGGTTAGGCACTACTGCTGTAGAGTGATGCAGAAAATAATTCAGTTTACTTTGCTTTATAGTACTGTAAAAACAATGAAGCCATAGGTGCCGACTCCATGGGTACTTTGGGGCTCAAGCACCTACTGAGAAAATTAGCAGGTGCTCAGCACCCATGAGCCACGGCCATTTTGGTTTTACACGTTAGATCTGCTTGCAAAGGTTAAAAGCACTTTACCAGAAGAAGCAGTGCCTTATTTCAGCCTGGCTCTGTAGCATCTGTAAAGATTGGGTGCTTCAGCAGAGCTTTTTGGCACTTCTAGCTAAAGCTGTTTCAGTCAGCTTTTAGATAAAAGTGCCAAAAAGGCCCACTAAAGCGCCTGACCTTTACAAACGTCAGCTGAGCTGGGTTGAAGTAAGATGCTGCCTCTTCTGAGCATGCACGGTAGGGCTTGGCATGGGAATGTGCCAAGTTTAAAGTAAAGCACCTTTTGTTTGTTTTATATCTGAAAGCACCTGCTGGCAAAAACCAAAGTCAGTGCCTATGAATGAAGCTAAAAGGATTTTTAAAAATAAAAAATGTTCTGTAATTCTTAATTTTGCAATAGTTTGCTAGAGCCAGATTCTGTTTACCCTTGCTAAAGCTAAGTGATGCATATATAGCCACCTAATTGCAATTTTTGGTATGTATGCACAATTTGACATTTATCATACCTATACCTGCTCCATGTTTCCCTTCTGCGCATGTTTAGTAGGCCACACTAAGGTTGCGTAGCTGCCCAGGCACATGCATTACATCAGACAAGTCCCAAAACTTCAGTTGTAGACTGAGAGGAAGAAAAAGAAGGCAGCCTTCCACTAGTCTGGTGGTCCAGGGGGCAAACTGTTTCCTGTTTCCCAGCAAAGTACTCTGAGTTTCAGAATTGGCTGCAAACTCATATTAATAACTATTTTTAATCGTTTTAAAAAGGTATTATGTGATATTCTAGGGATCTGTTTTGTAGCTGTGTTGGTCTGAGAGAGAGAGATAAACAAAGCTCCTGGGTTGGAGGCAATTATCTTCTATAAGACCAACTAAATGGTAGCAAAAAAATTCCTTTCTTTGCAAGTTTTTGGGCACATACACCCTTCTTTACGCTGAGGAGAAGTCAAAGATTGCAAAAGTCCTCCTAGATAGAAAATAAACTCCATTTTGCACAAGGGAAGTAGAAGCTAGAAGTTTATTCCCCTGGGTATCTGAGAGTCCTTTTGTGAGAGTGTTGCTCTGTGATGTGTAGATTAGGCTGTCTTCTTTCTTGGAAGTGTCCGATGTCAGAGGCAGCCAGGGAGGTGAAAAAATCCTTCTTTCTTGTTTAGCAATGAAGTTTACTTTTCCAGACAGCTAAAATATGATATCTTCCATGTTTCAGGGATCTATTTTGTAGCCATGTTGGTCTGAGAAAGATGCACAAAGCTCTTGGGTCAGAGGCAATATCTTTTATTCGGCCAAAAAACGTTGCTTACCTCTGGTCTGAGTGCCGAAAAAACTGCAATGTCTACCTTGGAAGGTGCCAGAGTCCCAACATGCTGGAGCCCAGAGCAGCTGTTTGCAGCCTCCCGGCTGCAGCCGGCCCAGCTGCCTGCTGGGAGAAGCCTGGGCTCCATGGCTGGCAACAGATGCTTAGAGCCCGGGCTGGCAGTGGTGTCCTGAGCAAAATGGCCTTGCATGCCATGCTCAACACACGTGCTGGGGTTGCTGACCCCTGTATTAGACCAACTAAATAGTAGCAAAAAAAAATCCTTTATTTGCAAGCTTTTGGGCTCCTCCCTCTCCTGTGTAAAATGGAGTCTATTTTTTACCTAGGAGGACTTTTACAATCTTTGAATTCTCCTCAGCCTGAAGAAGGGTATATGTGCCCAAAAGCTTTCAGAGAAAGGAATTTGTTTGCTACTGTTTAGTTGGTTTAATAAAAGATATTGCCTCTGACCCATGAGCTTGTGTATATGGTGTTCTGTATTTCTTTCAGTATCTCTCTGTTGAAAGTTAGGATGTTCTGGCTGCTTAAAATAAAACAGTTGGAATTTGACCTCATAGGTGATTAGTTAGAAATGTCTGAGTAACGCTTTAATATTTTAATAATAAGACACCTGCAATACATTGAAGTCCTTTTTTTTTTAATTGCAGTATATTTCCACTTCAGATGTAGAATGTCCACAAGAAGGACTAATGACAGAAAAATCAGAGGAGAAAAAGGCTGAACAGAACAGGTGAGAGAAACTGATTTAAAAAAATTTCAAAAGAATGTTTTACCAGTTTTCTAATTTATGGAGACAGCCAGAGTATTTTTTTATCCAAACAGATTATTTACTGTTACAGCAACATTTTGATTTGAAACTAAATTCCAGTCCTCTTCAATTTGAAGCATAGGTTATTTTGTTTTTTACAGGGATAGCTCTATGAGCTGAGTTTCTGGTATTGAATATTTATTTTAAAGATGAAAACCAGAAATCTATATTCTACGTGATTTAAAAAAGATGTTCCCTCAAGATGTACTTGTTTATTTTGTTTGAAATCTTAAAACATACTTCTAAAGCATTGAACTTTTCAGTAAAAATAAATAAATACAGAGTTAAAAATGTAAATGGATACAGTTTCTTACTGGACTGTCACACACAGTCTTTAATTTTCATGTATTACCTGTATGACCTACTGATTTCTAAAGGGAAAATGACTGTATTTTTGTGACTAGTAAATCATTCCATTCAATTTTTTTTCCTCTTAGAGTATATCTAATTTAACACTAATCATTAAGAAATGTTCACCTCTGTTCAACTCTTTGTCTCTCTTGAAATTAAGAAAATACCTTACCTCTGTGATGGCTTATATGTTCCTAGATGCACATGCAGTTTATTATGGTTTTAAAAACTATATAGTTTTATAAGAACTTTGTTAATATTTTGCTTAGGGTTAGGTATGTGACTAGTCAAATAAAGTTCAGTCAATTGACTGGTCAAATAGCAGTCAAAGAATGTAAATAAAAAGTCCAAAAAACACAGAAAAAGCATAAATTATCCATTAGGAAATGTATCAAAAACAATTAAAAAATTCATATTTCTGTCAAGAAACCTACAAAAAATTAGAGGGGTTTTTTCGTTTTTTGTTTGTGATTTTTTTTTTGGTGGGGGGGTTGTTTTTGGTAAAATCTGCAGCTAAAATATGCTAAAATAAAAAATATGCAGTCAATTGACAATATTTGACTGGTCATTTGACCAGGTTGCCAACCCAAATTTTAACACTATTTTAAGTTGATGTAGATTATTTTAAAAAACTGCATATAAAAGGTACCCTCCAAGGTTTCATGGCACTAACTTCCCATTTTAGGAATGCAGATTTTAATCATGTTCACAAGTGTTCTTCTAACTTGATTTTCCTTTCTTTTGCCAAGTCAAAGCAGTCCTCAACCTATCAATTGTCTTCTGTTTGTGTAAGTTAGCAAATTCAATTCAGCCTTTTGTTTGAGTCTGTTACTGATTGCTACGGAGACCAGATATAAACAGCCAGCTCTTATGTAGTTAAATCCAGGCTTACAAAATGACTGAAGAAATTCAGCTGAGTATGGCTGAGATTAAATTGCTTGTGTTTTAGGTAATCTGTTTTTTACTTTACATACAAAATCTTGCTAAACTGTTCTGGGCTTATAGTAGACATATGCTACATAATAAAAAGTTGTAATGTTTATTATAAATTCATCTTTCTTTCTATCTTTATAGCATGACGGAGGCTGTTGCCAAAAACATTCCTCATTCATTCTATTTAGAAAAGAATGCAGAAGCTCCTCCTAGGTAAGAAAAACAATATGCTATATTTCAGGGCTGTCCCATTTTAGAGAAGCTAGAAGCCCCCCCC